TGCTCTGCCCGGCCGGGAGATGCCCGGGCCCCGCTCCCTAACCCCGGGCCGCCGTCCTGGTGTGCGAGCTCCCACGCGGGAGGCTGTGCTCGCCGGGTGTCTGAACGGTGAACCTTCGCCGTGGTCTCGGGCAGCCTAGGAAGCAGCTGGGGTTCCAGGCGTGTGCCACTGCGCTTAGTGACGTTTTTAAAATTAAGGGAAACTACCGCCAACATTAGGCAGTCGGCCTGCACGCCGGGCTTCCCTTCCCAGGTCTCCCGCCCCCGAGCTCCCGGCGCCTCCGGGTTGACCTCCTGCCGCGGTTGCCAGGTCCTCGAGGGGGCGGCCTTGCTCGGGGAAGGGCCTCGGCTGCACTCCCGGGACGCAGATGCCAGTAACGAGGCCCGGTCGCCCTCCCTGGATAGCACGGGAGGCTGGGTCCCAGCCGGCTGATTATTAAAGCAGAGAGGACAGCCCGGAGCCCGCCCAGGGAGCCCCCTCACTGATGGCCGCTGGGTGGGTCGGGGTCAGCTGACGGCCCCTTCGGGTGCAGCAGGGACTTGGGAGCGGGCCGGGCTGCATGGGGGTGTGGGTGAGTGACTCACTTACTCATTGCTTTCGTTTTGTTTTTTGAGATGCGATCTTGCTATGCGAGCCAGGCCCGCCTTGAACTCACTATGTAACCTCGGCTGGGCTGGACCCGGGAGCCCTCAGCCCGAGAGGTGGGATAACAGGTGTGGGCCCCGCGCCTGGCTCAAGTCACTGCGCAAGCCTGTGCAATGAGGGTCGTAGGCTTTTCTGTTCTTTGAGCAGAATATACTGTGTTGTGGTCAGGAGGTGGTGAGCCTTGGGGGCTGGTGGGAGGAGGTCGGCGGGGACACAGCCGGGCCCCACTCCGCCCCTGCCAAACTCGGGCTCCTGATGTGCTGAACTGCCCGGCCCAGACGAGGTGCCCAAGGGACCTTGAAATTAGAGCCAAAGGCAGCGATTCCTCTTCACGTTGCTTACACTGGGTGTTTGGTGACAGAAAACACCCAGACAGCTGGCACATCAGTATCTCGGGTCCCCGTGACAGTGAGAGAGAGAGACAGACCGGAAGAGACGTCTGCTCTGCCGCAGCAAGGCGGGAAGGCAGGGAAGGGCACTGTGCGCCTGACCTCAGGAGACTGGGTCTTCGCAGAGGGAGTGAGCAGCCGGTAACCCTGGGGCTCTAGGTCGGGGAGCTGGGGAGCAGCTGGTGAAGGAAGAGTCCCAGGGAGAATGACTGCGTTGGGAGAGGAACAGGAGGTGATGCTGCCGAAGGAGAAGCGGGAGAGGAGCCAGGGATCCAGCCCAGGAAAGAGATCTCCAAAGCGCTGAAGTGACAGGGTTCAGCGTGGTCCGTGAGCTGAGGAGGAAAGATGGGTGAGGTGACAGAGCAGTCCAGGGGAGGGCTCTGGAGCAGGCAGGACACTGTCCCAGGACTCTGGGTGTGACAGAGGCTACCAGTGACTTTGATGCAGATGGTCTTAGAAATGCAGCACGTGGAGGGCAGTGCTGCAGGAGAGAAAGGAAGGTAAAATGTACACATGCCAGACACAGCGACACACATCTGTAATCCCACCTACCGGGGAGGCTGAGGCAGGAGGACTACAAGTTTGACCCCAGCCTTGGCAACTCAGCAAGAGGGCCTGCAGTGTAGCTCAGTGTAGACATTTAGCAGTGCACAGCCCTGGGCTCGGGCCCAGTACAGCCAAGAAAAAGAAAAAGAAAGGTACACATAGGAAGAAAGATAGCTCACTGAAGGGCAAGTGTGAGCTATAGAATGCTTCAGTGTGTCAGAGCAGAGCAATTTGGACACATAGGTAAAAGAAAACAGGGCAGGAGGGCAGAGAGGTGGAGGGATTTGTGATTCCTGGTCTCTGTTTACTCCAAAAAAACAAAGCAGTAATACAGCAATGTCACTGTTGTGTGTGTACCCTGTGTGTGTGTACAGATAGAGAGACAGAGATGGAGACGGAGGACAGCGGAGTGAGAGAGACTGACTGCAGGGAGCTGAGGGCCCAGCCTCATACCGGCCGTCTGGAGGTGGAGACACCCGGAAGCTGGTGGAGGAGACCCAGTCTGACCCCAGAGGTCTGAGAGCTGGGGAGACAGAGCAGGCGATTCCAGCCGAGTGAGGAGACGCCCACCAGGCCTGGCCCTGGCAGACTGGCCGAGGGGCAAACCCCTGTCCCTGCCCTGTTCTCTTCCCCTCTCCTGGGCTGGGGATTTAGCTCAGTGCTTCCACCGCCCGCCTCACAAGCTCAATGTCCCAAGTTCAATCTCTGGTACCAAAAAAAAAAATCTTCCCCTCTCCTGGGCTGGGCGGTGTTCTGAGGCCCCATTCATATCTCACCTGGGAACACCAGGAATGAGGTCTTAGCTGGGAAACACAAATTTAATACAGATTCACAGAACATATGGCTACCACCTCAGTTTAAAGATCTTAAAAGAATATCTCAGGGTCATGCCTTGCTGCGTAATTCCTGAAATTGAGGTGAGGAATTACTGAACTCAGCAGGGAACTCAAAAGAGAGAAGGGTAGAGAACAATCACTGGAAAAGGGCAGGACAGCACCAAGATTTCACCGACCCCGTTCCCCACCTGGAGAGGGTTGGTGGAGACAGGACGACCCCACCCACTGCCCAGGAGGGGAGCCAGGTCGGGCACAAAGAGATGGCAAGTTTCCAGGGAGAGCCGCGGCTATGGGGATCTTTGGAAGTTGATTGAGAACATAAGAGGATCTTCACAGTGAGATTCAGGGGACTGGGTGGGTGGAGGTGGGCAGGCATTCACTTACGTGGAAACACAGGCCCGGACAGGAAGGCATGGGCAGGTGCGCAGGGTCAGTCCACGGGGTTGGACTGCACTCCTCCCTCTCAGCCCTGGACAGAGCTCCAGACCTTGTGGGAAAGATACAAGGACACTCTTCGGCATCAAGAAAAAATATTCTTCTTTTAACATTTTATTTTAAATTAAGAAATACTGACTATGCATGTGTGAGAACAGTGGGACCCCTTGATATATGTCTACCCTGTGGAATGATCAAGTGGAACGAGCATCCCGTCTCCTCACTCTTCGTGGTGGCGAAGCCG